CTTGTTACAAAACACAGTTGAAATGTTTTAGAGAAACCACATTGACGTCATCAAATTAGCATAATGGATTTTTAACTCCGATTTTCTCTGAAATTTGAAGCCCTGCATCAAGTGGTAATTAGCCAACCTGTTATGCTTGTTCTATTGACTCTATTTTTCAAATAAAAAAAATCGTGTCATATGCACTTTTAAAGAGTTTGAAATCTTACCATGATAAATTTTTTTTGCTAAGTGAGGAGAACTCGCACTCGTGTGATTGGAAACCTAGCTAAGATGTACTTGGTTACATGGTACATGATGATAGATTAGATTCTCTCAACAAACCTGAACATGTATTCCTTTATCAGAATACTCTCTGTTGATACAATAACTGAGAAAATCCACAAAGGCCTAAAAAACAATGATGAATATTTTAGCAAATGTATAGCAATTTTTATTACAAATATTGTTTGCAATCCATACTTTTGTACTTGAATAATTTGCAATTAGAGGATTGGGTACCAAGGCTCCATATGATGACACGTTGATAATTAGTCCACTTTTCCTGCAGAAAATACCAAGTAAAACGCGTCATAAACTACATTATAGAATAGATATAACCTACATTTAAACATAAAATGTAAAAACTCAGCGTAATTTGCTAGGACCCAATAATAACTTGTCATTTATATAGTTAAGAATTGCATTGAAGGACCATTGTCCTCCACCATGCAATGCGGCCGTGCTTTAGGTTATCATATATATGGAAAATGAGGTGTCAAATGTCCATTCACAATTTGGTTCCATCCGTCTGTTTTAAGGTAAAATCTTACAACTCTCCATCCATAGAGCATTTAGATAATAAATTAGAAGTACTAATAAAAGTTGTTTGTTTATATTACATTAGTATCTTTATTTTCAAACTTGCGCAAGAGCTTAAAAAGAGACGTTAGTGGACCAATCTCTTTAACATGAAACTTGCACTATCACTAATCATTTTAAATTCATTCCTCTAGTTTTTAAGTTCTGTTTCCTTACCTTGCCACCATTATAGGCAAAACTATGTGAGTCATCTGGTGGAAAAAAGGAGAAAATCATTATTATTAACTTGGCTGATTGGTTGTAAATGGTTAATTATATGACAGCTATTTGGAAGTCAGGTTATATAGTTGTTTGGTTAGTTGGTGGGTTGGTTGGTGGGTGTTTTGTTAGTTTATCAGTGAGTTGGTAGGTTATTAGTGGGTTGGTTGGTGGGTTGCTAGTTTATTCGTGGGTAGGTAGGTTAGAAGGTAGGTTATTAGTGGGCTGGTGTGTGTTTTGTTAGTTTATCAGTGAGTTGGTAGGTTGGTTGGTAGGTTAATTATTAGTGGGTTGGTTGGTTGGTTGGTTAGATGGTTAGTTGTTTGTTTAGTTGCTTGGTTGGTTGGTTGGTTGATTGATTGGTAGGTAATAAGTTGGCTGGTGGGTTTGTTGGTAGGTTATTATTGGGCTGGTGGTTTGGTGGCTGGTGAGTTGGTGTGTTTTAGTTTATTATTGGGTTGGTAGGTTGGTTGGTAGATTATTAGTGGGTTGGTTTTGTTAGATAGTACTTTGCATGTTTTTTGACACTATAGGTTGGTTAAAATCACAAGCTACAAAAAGATTCTTACCATGACATATGAAAGGATGTTGACATTAATAATCTTTGCATTTTTCTATAGCAACAAACAATAATAATAATAATAATAATAATAATAATAATAATAATAATAATAATAATAATAATAAAATTCACTTCTTAAAGAAACGCATATCACTCAGTCTCAATGCTTTTTACAATCAAAAGTCTTAAGTTTTGATTTAAAAATAGCGATAGTCGAGTCAATGCTTTTCTTATGTCAAACAGAAAGAAACAATTAAGAAAACATATGATCATTATCAAGGACACATTAAGCAATTAAAAACAAAAAATATATACCTCTCTTGAAATTAAATGAAAGCAGTCTGCGCCTATTGCCATCCCCACGTTATTCACTAAAAATCAAATTACTTTATTACAAGCACTAAAGAACATAAATAATAATGATAGTTAATATTTCATATGATTGTACAATTGTTCAGGCAATCTACACAATCTAATAGCAAGACTTTTTATTACTTTAGTTAGTAATCCAAGTCAGTTTTACCACTGAATGTGGTCTTCGTCTAGTAAAATAACACTTGTGAAAATTATGGTCTATTGTTTACCTAGTATTCCTATTTCTAAGTCCTTTAGTTTGTCCCCAATGTCCTGGTATATTTCTTGTCCACCACCAAAGTCTATCACTATGCTTCTTGTCTCAACGTTGTACTGAGATTCTATAAAGAACAGTTTTGTCTTATTATCATTTATTGGCAAGCTATCACTCTTATATCAGTCTGCTTAACCCGGGGGGGGGGGGGGGGGGGGGGGGGTCAAAAGAATTTATTGAAATGCAATTAAACAAGCTTGTATTCAAGAAAAACACTTGACTTAATGAATGCCTATCACTCTAACAGTCGACTATATGCTTGAAAAATTCCAGCATTTTTATTATCACTTAATTCATTTTCCAAATGATAAAAATTGAACACAATGGCAATAACTTTTTCAAACTTATCAAAACCAATTCTTACTCACTTATCTCTTTATCAACTTTCTGTAGTTTTTCTAAATTTCTGCTCATGAGAACAATGTTTATTCCTTGCTTGGCTAACTATAAGAAACCAACCAAAGACAAATTATGCACATAATAGCTGTTTTAGTCTGGCATCGTTTAGTTTTAGTCCTTCACTCTCAAAGTATCAGTCTAGTATGAAAAGGATCAATGAAAATGATAGTGTTTTTATGCTTGCAACTTGTTGTATTACTAAAAATAATCCAGTTTTAGACATGGGAGCTTGCATGCTTCATGAATAACCCCCAGATATATAAACTCACTTGTTTAGCATATGATTTTCCAATACCATCTGTGCAGCCCGTCACAACTGTTGAATTAATCAAATTATCAAAATAAAAAAAAAATTGAGGCTTGAGAATAAAATTCAAGTTGCTGGGGTGCAGTTTTGAGAACAGTGAAGTACAATTCATTCCTCTCCATTGAATCAATCAAGGACTGGGTTGCCATAGCTTAAATACTGAGGCCACTGCATGTTATAATATTAGCTGATCATTAGACATCCGTCATACAACCACCCTGAGGCGATCAGACCTCTATACAAATGAGCAAAAAGAGGTTCTTGTTTTTACTTCTTTTTAGATGCTTTAAGAAATCCATTATATAATCTATAAACATGCAGCCATGACTCAACTTTCTCTATTTTTCTGAAGGTTGGATATATGTCATCATAATTAATCGACTATCAACAGAACGCATACCTCATTCAGTCAGGGGGGGGGACACGCACGGTATATTCACGAAAGAAAATGATCTTTTTAAGAGCATATTCAACCTCTAAAAGCACAAAAATACGCAAGATTTTATATTAAACATTAAAGTAACATTATTTCGACGCTAGTTTTTGGATTGTCCACAGAAATCTGCAGCAAATTGACTAATATCAGTGATACATAAGCTTTAATACGCATAAAAAGAAATCTCACTAAACCGTACCTGCCCACGAACCAAATGTCCTCAAGTTCTTCCTAAAACCAAGCGACGGAAGAACAAATGTTTTGATTCCTTGGATGAGTTGGAGTGCAAATTTAACTCCATGATATACAAGAAAGAAGACGCCAACAACAGAAAGAATATTGTACTCCATATCGTAGCAGACACCAGACAGCACTGACTCGGCTAGACAATAAATGCCACAGGAAGCCCATTCGTGACATTATGAAGGACAGAATTTTCAAAACTACGGTACTTGTGTAAAGTGACTGTCCACCTACTTTTTAATGTTCAAAAAATAGAAATTATGATATAAATAAATAAAAGAAATCAAATCTGAATGGGACTAATTTTTTTTGAAAAACAACCAAACCAGCGTGTATCTATTTTAAAATAAAAAGAAAGATCTGAAAGAAAGCATTATAATGTCTAGTCCCCTCCCATCCTTGAAAATAAGGGATCCCACAAAAAACACAGGTAGCCCGCGCGAATGTTAGGCAATTGTTTGATATGGTTCATTTTCCGCAGCATTCTTATATTTTCAATATATTTTGTAACGTTCTGGATCGTCACGTCTAATCATTCACTGTCCGCTCCAAAAATATCCCAGTTACGAGACGGCTTTGTGTTGATGACAGCCACGACCCACACGCGTTTGTTCACGGCTTGAGTGCATTCATTTCTTTGAAATGCCATGTGCGAACTATAAACAGGAAGTCTGTGCGATCTTTTACATTTATTTACCGATTGGTTGAGTGGCCAAGCAGGTCAACCATATCTTCAACACGAAAAACATATTGACTAAAATATTACAATTACGAGTCAACTTGTACAAGTACTGAGGTGTACCGATCCCATTTTCCCAGTTCATATACGTAATTCCAGTAGTTTTGTTTGAGTTTCCATCCCAAAATCAGTAGGAATCGAATTTAATTCCCATTGCATTCAATCCCATTTTCCCTGTAAAAATAGGACTGTCATGGTGAACTGTGACAGGTAAGGGCCGGTACTATGACACAAGCAGAAGCTTGTTCACGCTTGACAGAAGCATTTTCTTCTGCTTATGATGTCCCGGTTCACACTCGTAATCTTTCAACATGAGCAGAAACAGAAGCAGAAAAAAATAAAAAAAGTTTTCATTTTCATCTGCTTCTGTTTTCCCTGCTGGTTCACACACAAACACACTTCTTCTGCTTCTGCATGCGGCCACAGTTTGAACCGACCCTAACAGAGAAGCTCTTAAAAGAGTCCTTCTGGGACCTCGTTGTTCAGGGGAATCGAAATGACAGCGTTGTTCGTTTCTAGGAATACGAAAAGATTTTCAGAGGCGTCATTAGAGGCTTACGCATCCAACGGACGCGATCCCGGCCCTTCAATGCGTATAATGCTGTTTATATATATGTATATGCATAGATCACTAACCGTTACGCGGTCATCATAAATAAACTCTTGAACTGCTGAAACAGGAAGAGATAACTTACGTTAAACTTTTGTGAAAGGGCAGTTATAGTGGTCGATGATAATGTGTTTAAAAAAACCCGTGGAATTAAAATTGACCAATGTACGGTAGAAATGTGAGAAAGTTTCGCAAACAAACGGAATATAATCACAATTTATCACAATTCTCTGTGAAATAATCCAAAATTGTACCATGAATGTACTATTTCCAGATAGGGAAATGATTTACCTATATTTAAATATAAAATAATATGTAATGCGATAGATTTACGGGGGTTTCCCTTGATCAGTTTGCAAAACGTTCGCACCGGAAGTTACCAGAAGCAGGAAGTCGATTGCACAGTTGATAATTATACCAGCAAAGGCATGAAAAATGAAATTTCATCGATAGAATTGTCAATATTAGAAACTAAAAACAGCTACGTTTCTATTAAAAGACTTTGATACTGCAATTCAAATTTTTAAATAATCCCCAAAATGTCGAAAATCAAAACTGTTTGATGGAAACTCTTAGAACTTCCGCCACAGGGAGCCCAAGGTATTATTTTGGTTTTGAGTTTTTCTTGGAATATGTTTTATCTGTGCCAGTGCATGTGCTACGCGTGATTCTAGCGTAGTTAGTAGAAATCGTTGAGAAAATTGAAGTAATAGTCGATTCATTATACGACTCGGTAGCAACTGAAATGCCCAAGGGAAGAATAATACTCCTGGCTTATTTCTCGTACATTGGCTTTGTGAGCTTCTTTGTGAAAGGGAATCTATATGGAGGTGAGATATATATATAATTTCATCCCCAAAATAATTTTAGCATCAAAATATAGTCTTTCGTGTCTTATATTTGATTTCATTTCTATTATTTTATGATTTCGCTCAATTCTCGCAAGCTAGAAGTTATAATTTTTGATGCCAGGGAAATTGTCCAATTGTATATATGAAAGAAAAGTGACAATCGAAGAGTAAACCACTGCGGGAAATCCTCTTGAATGGAATTTTTGAAAAGTTGCTCATGCTTTTCTAAGATTTTCTTTACTATTTTGTGTATATGAAATACAAATTTGTATTTGAATCGAACAGAATCAGACATAGTTCATATAGTCATAAGCGTGGCAAGAGTCTGGACTTCTAAGAATATGGGTGCGTTTGAATAATTTATCTTGATGAACTTGCCGAAAGCAAACAGATTCCAAATGTTCAAGCAAAACAAATTCTGGACTCACTCAGTTTAAAGCAAATGCAAAACAAAAGAGAATTTTAAAATGTGGAAAAATGCGTGAAAATGAAGAAAACATTGTGCAATGAAATGATTTCTGAAGCTCGTAGAAGCGTCACATTGTGCCAAAAAGCTTTCGTTTTATTTTTTATAAAAACGAAATTCTCGGTATTTCCTTTATATTGCTTCAGTTTTAAAAATAATCGATCAAAACCATTTTGGATGTCAAACAGGTTGGAGCCTATATGAAATTAAGGAAAACAAACTTATCTTTAATATATTAAGGCCTTGTTTCGATACAAAATTTCAGTATTAATAATAATCAAAATCATGGTTTACACAGTATCTAAATCGAAAAAACCCTGTCTCGCTAACACATTCTTATATATAGTCGAATTCAATAAATGTCACTTGCGTCATTTGTCTAGTTTGTGTCCTTAGGGCCTGTCCTCCAATACGTGGACAGATCATAGCGATCCATGTTTTCTTAAATACACCTAAGCACTTTTACCTTTTGGATTTTCAACTGGTCATTTTTTTCAGTAATATCAAAGACGTTGTTGGAAGACAAGCACACTATTGCTTGCGTTAATCACTATGTTTATGCGCTAGAAAACAGTCCCATAGGTTTTCACAGTTTTGTTCATAGTTTTAATTTGTTCTTTGTTTGTGATGATGTCTAAAGAAAACTAGTCTCAATTCAAACGTAAAAGAGTGCATTATAGAGACAATCAAAAACAAATTTCAACAGTTCGCATAACAGTACAACTAAGCATGATTACTATATCTTCTCATGATTTTAGTGTTTTCACTTTGTATTTCACAAAAATACTTATCATTGTCTTATCATTATACACGAGTAAACTCTTTAACTAATTATCCTTTCAACGGGACATCAATTAAATACTAAATACTCGTAATAGCTCATATATATTCCATTGTCTGTCGAAGTAACACATACATTTTGTCTTCTGTTTCTCATTTAGGTCAACTGATCCAAATATATGGTCACAGACTTTACCACAAAGGCCAGCGCCTCGTGCTTAATTGCACTACAATAAATAAAAAATTTAACAATCATGATCTCCACTGGTCAAAAGATGGTAAAGCAATTCCCGGAAAAAGAGTCGACAATAACACGTTACAGATTGTCAAATCAAACATTGACGTTACAGATGGTGGAGGATACCGCTGCGCTATTATACAACAGACGCATCTTATTCGTAGCATTCAAATTTATGTGACAGTTGGAGGTGAGAGGTTACTTTACAAACTTTATAATTGCAGGTGGCAATGGATTCTTGTCAATTTAACTGACAAGTCTGTCAAGTTTGAATCTACGCTGTTTGTAAGAACTGGGCGTTGCCTTGGAGCACTAATAACTTCCTATGATTAATTTGAATAAAATGAATATTTTCTCATGTTTTCTAACTCTTTCGCTCCCATTCTTTTAGAACTCCCACTTCGACCCACAGACATAAGCTGGCGAAATATCAACAATCGAATTTGCATAAGTTGGTCCCCAGTCTCAAGCAACAGTGGTTTCCCCGTGACATATAAAATTCGATACCGTTGCGTGACTGAATGCGACGATGAAAACTCAGACGATGAATACGATTCGTCTAAAATTAGATGGAGCGTTGGTTGCAGAAATCCCCGACAAGACCCCAGAGAGAAACTTTTTTGCTGTCTAAAGTACGTAGATCTGTTCGTAAAATACGAAGCCGTTGTTATGGCAACTAATCTTCTTGGATCGTCATCAAGCAAGCCATTCAACTTCACACGGGATATCCAAAGTAAGACGTTGTCAATCATACACTTTTTAGAGACCATTCGATTACCCAGAGTGCCCCACAGTCATGCTTTCCCACAGGGAGCCCAAGCAAAGACTTTGAATCTATAATTGTTAAAAATTAAATTTTATTTTTAGAAGCAAAATTCTATTTTTAAAAATAAAAGATAAGTCATTGCTTGGGTTCCCTGTGTCTTTCCCAGTCTATTTTCTGCGCCTGCGATTTGTATATGTAAATATATCCCTCCCATTGATGAAACTGATTTTTCGTTCCCTAGCAACGCCCTTACCACCCAAGTCTCTAAAACTACAAGCCAAAGGTTACTGTGAAATAACCTTAGAATGGTCACCACCGCATTACTTCATGGACTGGAAGACTAAATACGCTATATACTACAACGCATTGGGCGATACTAAGAACAAGGTAACGCAATGTGAGCCGAGAGTTCTGCCGGCGCTTTTTGTCACGCAGTGTTGACTGCCGCTGGATGACTATAGTGCAGGCTCTGTGTACGAAGTTAGATTAGTTTAATGCATTTTGACAGGAGAGCCTACGTAGCACTCAGTTAATGTAATATGTCCATAAAGATATAATACAAAACACATAATACAATAGAACGAGAAGCAATGGAGTACAATACATTTTATGAATACATTACATCAACTGCGTGCTACGTAGGTCTCCCCCATTACAAGGAGCCTCGTTCTCAGGTTCTTTTTCTGTTCGCATTGAACAAATCCAGCAGAGAAGCCTTGGGAACGAGATAGCGCATACAGTCAGCTCTCGCCTTATGGGCACCGCTATTACGGACACCCCGATATTACGAACACCCCGATATTACGGACAGTAAAATACTGAATCCCGGCCGGCGAAAAATACAAAGAAATGACTGAAAGTAGCTCTCGTTACTACGGACTCACTCTACTGCGGACACTACATTACGGTCCCGAGGGTGTCCGTAATAGCGAGAGTTGACTGTACTTGAGCCGGAGCCACATAATAGACACCGCTCTTAGACCAATCAGTGCGCACTTAAACAGAGTCTATAACACAAACCTGAGATGTAATATAATGATTAATGATTAATAAATAATTAGATTACTGAATCTAAAGTACAAAGTACTGTATAACTAACGGTTTGTTTCTTGATCAACAGTCGATAATTACCGAAGATAATGGACAAAGATATTATCGTATCACAGGACTAAAGCCTTTCACCAAATATACAGTATACGTTGCTGCTATTGATTCACCCAGTGGTACCGTTGGGTTCCCTGTGGGACCGGTTTCCATAGTAACTAGAGAGGAAAGTAAGTGACGTCACTAAGTTTAGATGGTTTGCATGAAAGTTTGAAATCGGGCATTTTCATTAGAAATTCAATACAATTTTTCTTAATCCTTAGCTTGCGTACATCCGGTTACGTGTAAACGCTGGATGAAGTCGGGCTACTTAATCCTTCGCTTACAATAAAATTAGAATAAGAAGTTTTTCTTAGATAGTTTTTGAATATTTTTTTCGTATGTTTTCATTAAAGAATATTGAAGTCGGTCTTGAAGACGTGTTTCCATATAGACGGCTGCAAAGGAGGCATATTAGTTCTCAAAGGTGGTTTTATATCTTTATTAGATCCTTCAAACGCACCTGAAATTACGGATTGGTCTTCAATAGAGGATCCCTCCAACAAAGAACTGCGGAATGTTACTATCAAATGGAAGGTAAGCTCCTATTAAAATTATCGCAGCCATTTTTATTTCCCAATAGTGCATTGCGCGCTTAGAGCAAAACTCAAAACTCAATTAAGATTATTTTATTCGCTCGATTTCAGCTCCCACCGAAAGAAAGCTGGAATGGTAGACTTACGAAATATATAATCCAATACCGACGAATTAATTCCCCAATCGATTCTACTTCGGCAAACTCATGGGGAAAGAAAATGACAATCGATAATTCATCGGCTGCCGAAGGTACCATCGTCAAGATTCGGGTAGACTCGGCTTACGAAGTTGAAATGCAGATGTGCAATAACGCAGGTTGCGGAGGGATTGGGAATCGAGTGGTCATTACCGCGGAAGCTGGGCATAAGATTGGTAAGGATTTGGATCTACATTATAGTGAAATAAAAAATACCCGTAAAATAGATACTACACTAATACACCTTAATACGCTCTAATTGCATTGTTTTCTTTTGTGTCTATTTGACTATCACAATTTAATAGACAAGTTTTGTTTCACGGGTTTATAGTCGAAAAACCCGTGAAATAGATATTATACTAATACACCTTAGTACGTTCTAATAGCATTTTCTTTTGCTGTCTATTGATAGTCAAGTTTGTTTAACGGGTTTGATGACTTCACTCCAGTGAACACGGTCAAATGAAAACAAGTCAAGCCAAACCGTTGAATATCACATGTGTTGAAGTCAATGCAAAATAGAGGGAGTAGTTAGAAACAAGATGAGAGTGGATTAACGTTGACTCCGACACATGAGTGATTCAACGTTTTAACTCCATGTTTATGTTTTCTTTCAATGTAGAGTCAAATAAAGAGCTCATGAAAGACAAAACCGCAATATTGTACATCGCTTTGGCTGTAATTGTGTTTGTCCTCGTTGCTGTGTTACTGTTGGTCATTGTATTGAAAGCAAAAAGGTAAGATCGAACCCGAGATATAATGATCCAGAAACCCGAGATGTAATGATTCAGAACTGTGCTATTTGTCACGCTGGGTAGGGGGGAAAGGAGATGAAGAACCTGTTCCCCCCTCCCCTCCCCCCTGACACGGAATCCGGAAAGTTACTGGATTCTGGATTCCACCATATTGGATTCCAATCTCTGCGGGATGGGCCGAACACTTCAAACCTGCTTTGGTTTCAACCATACCCGGGGCTGGACCGACCCCGGCACCCTTACCCTGTTTAAGACACTAGAAAGTAAAAATCCATACCCTGTTCAAGACAAATCGGAAAAATAAGGAATCGCTATCTACGCCGCAACCATCAAAACTGCAATAACCATCAAAGACAATAAGAAGTTTTTGATAACACGTTAATCCTGCTACAGTGAAACGATATTTCTTATGAAAATATTACCCTGTCCAAGACACAAAAAATATATACCCCCGGAAACCATACCCAACACGGGTCAGGGATCTGGTAGACTGAAGGTGTTTGACCTAAGCAATTGTAAAACGTTTTTTTATGTCTTAAATATAGTGTTTATGAAACAAAATCATTATTTGTTGACAGGAAGGTGCAGCCGTCTTCCAAAATCACGTCTTACCGATACAAGAACAGTGGCAATTTGAAGGCAGAATGTGCATAAACTGATTTGTAACTTCATTCTAGTTCGTTTAATTCAAAATTCACACGTGAAGCGATTGAAAAGCTTGCTTTGTGTTACGAAATGTACAAAATTCGTTTAGGTTTTTTTAAAGTATGTTTTAAGGGCTGAAGTGGTGGTTTTCATTAACTCTAGCCTGCAAACAGAGTCTGTCTTTCAGGCTCAATCACACAGTGAAAAACAGGTTATGCGAGTTTATCTTGTTTATGAAAACCAAGGCAATCTAGCCCAATTCTTATTTATTGATTAATTTATTACCATTAATAAAAAATAAATAAAAGTACAAATGATAAGTTATTAGATAACAACCCTTCGTTCCTTTTGTTTGCGTGTCGGGTGGGATCTCATCGGTACAACTTTTGCCTTCAACGTCGCATGCAACTTGCAAAAGACATCCTTACAACATGGCTACAACTTTCGTAGTGCTTACGAAATTACAGTTGACTCTCTTTGAACGACCAGACGACAACACTCGTATTGGCGACCATATCCCGTATGCGACCACCTTTTAAATTTCCCGTTACAATTTAGCCATAGACTCTGTAAAAATAACTCTCGCAAGCGACCACTTTTTCCTGATCCCGAGGTGGTCGCTTACGAGAGAGTTGACTGTACTTAATAGTCCTACGACAGTTGTAGCCATGTTGTAAAGATGACTTACGCAGGTTGCAAGCGATGGTTGTAGGTAAAAGTTGTGCCGTTTAAGTACAAACGTTTCATTCACAATCACGATTCTTTTGCTCTTGTGGTCGGGAGGGATTGCGGAGCGAAGAAAAAAAAGTGCAAAAATTATGCTTCGCATTACATAAGCTAATTTATAATAAACGTTTCATTGCAAACATAAACTTTTAATATCTTCATGTAAACCTAAGAAGATGACTAGCATCAATGATACAATTATATTCTTTCATGTCATCAAAAGTATTAATATCTTAATAACTATTAAGTAATTAATGTCTCGCAGTCTCACTGTAAGAGTTTCGACATAACCGCAGTTAAAGGGACACTGTCAATGGCACGCATGCGCGAGTAAACTTGAAAACATCAGGCTTATGACTCCAAGTTGGCGCGACATAAATCAGCTCGTTAACGTAAACACATCTAGAATATTCCAAAGTGTGTCAAAAGCACCACAAAATGATTTACCTCGACTTTCAAAGTCCGTTAGAGGTGAGACTGTTACTGCGCATGTCATCCATTGACAGTGTCCCTTTAAGTGTCACTTGCTCTGCATTGAACGATTATTTCATGCGACTTCAAGTTACACAACCTGCGTAGCGACCCTAACGGATTCGGGATGACCGAGAGGGATACTTCAACACAAATTACCCGCTTCCGTAGGATACTATAACGTAACGTTTGGGCTTCCTGTTCCGGAAGACTACCCGAGAAGAACTGGCACTATTCTACCTTGAGTTGCCTGCGCTTGAGAGCCGAAAAGCAAATTAGTTTTTTAGATCATGCAGCAATAAGATAGACTGAATTAACGGTAAAACTTCGGCATTTTGACGGACGACGACTAGCGCTACTCTTCAATGGTTGCAAATTAAGTAAAAGAATTTCAACTTCAACTGTTTAGACATTACGTAAGGGTGAGTTCCTGGACCTGTTGGGGGTCCTGGTTCCTAATTTTACTTAAGTAATACATGTAAGACACCCTTCTATCAAAGGAAAATCTCGACAATTATTTTCTAGCTTTCTTGAAGGTTTTCGGTTAGCATATGGGTTTTCCAGTATTTCCTCGTCGGAAAGGAAGCAAAATCACGGAACTAAACATCGTCCATTTTACGTCTCAGCAGCATACGCTCAACTCAATAAAACCCTCTTCAAATATCCCGACGCCGGACGTACACGACCCATAACATACCAGTGCCAGTCTCACTCACACACAGGTACCCCACATTTCCAAAACCCAAAAGGGCCGTACTACAACTGCCTATATATTATCTTTGGTACATGGTCTATAAGATTAAAATATATCTAGATAGTGGAGCTGGCCTGTCTCTTGCTTAGGAGAACATCTATGAGACGTAATCTTGCCTTGATTTGCTGTTAAAAAGAAAAGAAAGATTCTTGGAATCTAGCCCCTAAAAAATCTACTTAAAGCCGTTTTCATTCTTTCTTCGTAAAAACGGCAGAACCAAATATATTTTTGCACAATGAAGGACTGTTTTGGCATACATGAAGAGGGCTACACTCCCAGCATGCTTTGTTGAATTTGCGTCATGTACCGTATACGCAATGCATTGTGGGATATGCATTGTATTGGTACAAAACATGGCGGATATATTTTGTTTTCTCTATGAACTGAACCCACAATGCATTGAAAGTCAAGTAGTGACGTAAGAGGTTAAGACGTCAATTCACTCACCTTATATTCACGATAATCGTTCTCCATATCACCACGTTCGTCTCTCTGCGCCCTCCTGCAACACAATTAGTACAAAACGAATTAGTGTACAATCAATAAAACCATTGCCATTTGTTTTTTTGCTCCCAAACATCACTCAACTATTGAGCGAACCCCAAACATTCACCGAGCGAACACCGAACATTCACCGAGCGAACACCGAACATTCACCGAAAGAACTCCGAACATTAACAAATGAGGTATAAACGTAAAGTTTGAGTTCATCCGATTTTGTAGGAGCGGTTTTGAAAGTTATCTTCGTTACAAATGTCCTAAGACGTCTCCAAAGCAACCAATATCTCTATTTCTGTTCTGACCTTCCTGTTCTCTCGAGGAAATCATCTTCAAATTTCTTTAATTTCTTTCTTAGTCTTTTCTTGTCTCTTTTGGCTAACTCCACTTGCTTCTGTAAGTCTTCCCTAAAAACACAATATCAGGGTTATCTAGAGCTGTTGGACCTGTTGGATTGGACCTATATAGTTCACTTCTTACGCGCACATTGATTGGTCGAAGAGCGGTGCTCTATCTGCCCAGACTCTCGAGAGAAGACATCTTTCTTCAATAATTAACTAACAAAAGCTGGACTTTCTGTGGTTACAGCCATATAAAGCTCTAGGAAAAGCCAAAACTTGCTGCGACCCTTAGCGTCCTCTCGCAGCCGTTACGAGGTTCGTTACGACACTACGACTTTTATGATCAAAAAGCGCGGGAAACGTATGCGGTGCGCGCGTCAACCGGAAATACAAAAAGGCGGGCAAATCCGAGCATCCCCCCCCCCCCCCCCCAAAAAAAAAGTCAATTAACCGGAAGTTTCGATTGGGATTGCGCGGGAAAATTGCAGCATCCGAATTTCCAGTGGTTCCGTTAAAAAGAAAAGACCCGAGATTTCTTTCGTTATCCCAGAATTATAGAGACGTACTGTGACATGTGATGAAGCTTGGCATCACGCTCTTTATCTTCAAGTAAGTTTTCTTGTGAACCGCCAAAGTCTGAGCAATTATCAAGATCTTCTACACTCCCAATAGACACATCAGAACGCCTTTTCTGGGCTTTTGTAAGGTCCTGCGAAAAGTGTTTACKATTTGAAAGCAATTAGTAAGGGAGGGAAGAGGAGGGAAGGTTACATATTAATAGTCAACTTTAGATATTTTGGTTCGATGACTATGTAGAAAAGAACGCACACGAGGCTCCGGGAAAACAATGGATAATTTTGATTTGTTCATTTATTTCCCCGGAGCCTCGTCTGCAATTCTTTCGTGCATGGTAACTAAACCAAAATATCTACAGTCAGCTATTCATTCAAATATCTAATCGTGATTTTTTTCTTAATAAACTGCTAATTATTATTTCATCAATCCTATATTCCACTCTTTTATGCAATTAATTATTCATTCATAATTTCATTATATAATCTTTTCATTCAACTTTGATTTTTTCGCCTATCTGTCCGTTCGTACATTCAATATTTTACCTTGGTAGCTGGAGGCATCTTGGATTTAGGAAGCAATGTCAAGGTAGCAAATATCTGTTCTTCGCTTCCCATATCTAAAAAAATGTATATAATTCAGAATACAAGAGATAATCTTAGCACAGCATGTCATGTAGAATAGCATAGAATGGAATAGAATTTAACATAACAAATCTAAATATCCAATTAACCCACCATCGTGCTCAGATCCCAGTCCTTCAGACCTGTTGACATGAAAAATACAATTAGGGAGACGTAACTTGACCTCAAAAACTCCGTGATATACAAACTTACTTTTTGGATAAGTCTTCAGTTGAGGATTGCTAAGAAACAAATAAATTAGTTATAAATTAACTGAATATTAACATATTATTAACCTATTAAGAGGAAAAACTTTTGGAAACAGTTAATGCCGTTACATGACCAGCATTCATTGCGGTGGTGCTTTAGATTTTTCACACAGGGATAAAGATGTAACTTCAAATGTCCATTCTAAATTCATCCTAATGATGAAGTTTCAGTTGGTCCGATGACGGACGCTGCTGTCTGAAAGCTCGCTTTATCAATTTTTTTTTTACGAAGTCTCCTCGTAAGCGTTCTTTTGTGTAGCGGGCTCCCTGTCCCTTAGCGTCTTCCCTTTGAGTAACGAGTTTACTTACAGTTCTAGAGGCGCTGAGTTTCCGTTTAATCATTCTGTACCGATCATATAATGGACGCATTATGTCTTTGTCTTTCTTGGTCGTCTGTAATAATAAAATCATTTATAATAAGACCCGTCCGTACGACTTTTTTTGCTACCAATATTAAACGAAATATTCAGGAATGACGTCATTAATTAATATGCAGGGTGATGACGTCATTAATCAATATTCATGATGATGACGTCTTTTTTAATATACATGATGGTGACGTCATTATTTTTGTCAATACCATGATGCACTTCGCCGAAACAAACATGACGTCATTAGTGGAGGAAAGGGTTGTTGATAGTATCCAAGTCTTACCGGTCGACCAAATACACTTTCATGCTGGAGTAAAGCTTTCTGTACACATAATTTCTCATCTTGCAGCTCTTCCAAAGTGAGATCCTAAAGAGATAGTATTGGATAAGTGGACTAGTCAAGTCTTGATCTTCTTTCGACCCGCTCTATGACTCTTTCCCCGCCTATCTTAGAGCGGGTCGAAAGAAGGCCAGGACTGGGATTAGATAAAAAGAATAAGGACGTCGTTATTGTGACGTACGACAACAATAACAATAATAAACTTTATATAAAGCGCACAAATCCAAAAGGCAAAAACTAATAGCATTCACCAACGTTTGTGGGCTCTCACAAATTCTTTGTTCTGATTGGATCCCTAATCTTTAGCTATTGATGATAGCTCAGTTGAAAAAGTGCTGTTTTTAAAGCTAAAGCAATTGGTTTAGCTTACCTGAAGGTCTTCGCTACGGTTAACAGCTTTTCTCTTATCCTGTAGCTTCCTAAGAATACCATCTAATGATTGTTGGACTGTTGCTGGTGAGGTGGTCAGTAAAGATTCACCTGATAATAACCAACCATATCTCAGTATAATATACGTACAGATTCATGTGATATGGTCATTCTTGTGATGATATGAGTATGATATCAAGAATGATTGTTTGAGTATGACATTAAATGACTATTGATTTTAGCCGATTAGGATACGAAGAACTGTGTGCTGAGGGTTAATAAGATAGAAGAACAAGAAGAAGAGGAAGAACAAGAACAAGAAGAAAAACAAGAAGAAGAATAAGAAGAAAAAGAACAGGAAAAAACAACGAAGGACAAGAAGAAGACGAAGTAGACGAAGAAGAAGAAAGAGGAGAATGAAAATAAGTTATGATGACGACACCTACATGTCAATCAATAAACTGTCAATCAAATTAATCTGTCAATCATAAATGACATTAGGAAAAGATTAACACACCAGAGTTATTAGTTGAAGGTACTTCTTGCTTTAAAGCAGGGGCTGTCTCAATGAGTCTTTCAGAATCCTCTGTAAAACAACACAGTAATACATGTTGACAAAAATTATATGATTGAATAAATTAATTGACACTTCATCTGCAAACCTTTTGCCTTCTCTTTTAGCTCTGAAAGTAAGAAAAGAAATGACAATATTATTATGAACATTATTACAACTGATAATAACCCCTTTATTAAGCTACAAATAGTCTCCTTCGCGGTTCCCTGCGCCATCTTGAAAGGTAGCCGTGCCTTTACATCGAAGCGAGACGACCGTTGAGCGTGATATGATAGATACCTGTAAATAATTGTCTGTAGGTGTGAAAGAAGGTTTCTATCATTGCACGCTCAACGTTCGATTCGCTTCGATGCAAAGGCACGGCTACCTTTCAAGATGACGCAGGGAGCCGTGTAGAAGACTATTATGCCCTTGCTCAAAGTTGAAACTAAAACTAGTCCAAGATGAATGTACCTTTTAGCTCTTTCCTGTAGCGATTAAGATCTGCAAGATACTTTTTTATCGGCGCCTTTTCACTCTGAGATGGCTGAAACAATTAAAACAATAATAAATACCATATCTTCCAACTTTATTAAAGGGACACTGTCAATGGATGACATGCGCAGTAACAGTCTTACCTCTAACGGACTTTGAAAGTATTACCTTCGAGGTAAATCATTTTGTGGTGCTTTTGACACACTTTGGAATATTCTACAACGGGGGACAAAAAGAAATGACACCCTCTTAGCTGTTAGGACAAATTTCCTTATTTGACTGATTTTATCGCTTTTTCACCATAATCTCATCGAAAACCCCTTTCCCCGATTCAATGTTGGGGTGGAGCAGGGAGTTAGGTTCATGAATCATCTTCCAACAATGAATCGGGGGAAGGGGGGTTTATTTTACTCGTGAAATATAAAGATTTTCCTGTATACGCAGGGGGGGTGTCATCTATTTTGTCCCCCGTTGTAGATCTGTTTACGTTTACGAGCTGATTTATGTCGCGCCAACTTGGAGTCATAAACTTGAAAACACTGGCCTAGTGTTTTCAAGTTTACTAGCGCATGCTTGCCATTGACAGGTGACAAAACAAAGCCATTTATACGTACTGAATGCTGTGAAACTATACTTCGTACTTCAATACAGGAGTTTATAGTTAATATTACACGTAAGTAGCGTTACAAAATGACTATTCTAAACAAAATTACTTGCCGAAAGTACAGAGCTGAAATAGTCACTTTGAAACACAGAAAACTACTTTTAAACAGGTGATAAGACAAACAAACACCATTTACCTTGTGGCCGTGTTCTGCTTCGAAAGACTCTTCATATTCTCTAATTTTCTTCTTTAACTCTTTTAGGATGAAAAAATGAAAATTAAAAAAGTTTGCTTTCTACCCCCACCACCCGAACACTGTGGTTTATATTCGTCGATACTGTCCATAGCCTCGTCAGCCATACAGATATAACATCGGGGTTTGTGCAAAATTTTCGCTACAAAATTCCAGGACTTTTCAAGTACTTTTTAATCACAAATGTTTGCGAATGTTTCCAGTGGCGATTTTCAAAAATAACCACATTTCAATCCAAACGGCAAAAGGCAATATTTTAATTTCATCAGATTCAAGGAGTTTTCCAGGAGTTTTAGCGATTCTTCCCATTTTCAAGGGTTGTTCAAGCGCCCTTGAAAACTAGTTTTCAATTCCAGGAGTTTTCAAGGATTTCAAGGAGTAGCGCGAACCTTGTAACATTGAAACAATCGAACGATTAAACTCAAATGTATACATACGGTGAATATTTCTTGAGATCTGTTTCAGAGAAAGCTCCCCTTTTGGCGATGCCTCCATTCTAGGAAAAAGATACATTATTACTCGAAATTACACGGGCAAATACAAATTCCAGGATTCGCTAGAGTGTAAGCACTAAAACAGTAAAAAAAAGTACCAACCAATAGTACAACCCGGGTCAATGAAAGGATGACTTACGCAGGTCGCATGCTATGGTTGTAGGCAAAAATTGTGTCGGCCTTTAAGGTTGCGTACGACTTGTAGTATACGATTCAAATGAGCACTACTCAGCGAACAGAGCTACTTTTCTCACCCGCCGAGAAGCGAGAGAAAAATATATTATAATGTAAAAAAGTATTTTTCTCTCGCTTCTCGGCGGGTGAGAAAAGTAGCTCTGCTCGCAGAGTAAATGAGCTCGAAATAGCGCCATGTAAATCCCCCTGTGCCTTGTCTACAACAGTCGTACGCAACATACGACTTGTCGACTGAAAATCGTATACTACAAGTCGCACGAGACAATTGTACCGTGTAAATCGTCCTTAATGTATATTATAATGTGTTGTCTTTAGCAGTGAATTTGTGGGCTTGCAGTAAGCGTACAACCCGAGCCAGATCAACAAAGAGAAATGATGTATTTACCTTCTGTCTGACCAAAATGGCTCAATGTGATCATGTGGAGGGGATGGGGGACACTCAGTTGGATAACTGCAGAAACAAGCAAGTGATTGTGATTATGATTGCGTGCCGACACAATGAAACAAAGAGTGAAGTGAATAGATGAATGGAAGGTACAATTTTACTTTAAAATGACTTTTGTGAAGATGAAAGAAATTAGGGAATTGAAGAATGAAGAAAATTAGCGAAAAAAATGGAAATTGCAAACGAAAATGACATTATATGAATGAAAGGTAAAATTTTAATTGAAAATGACTTTTTTGAAGATGAAGAAATGAAGAAAATTAGCGAAAAAAAATGGAAATTGAAAACGAAAATGACATTATATGAATGGAAGGTGAAATTTTAATTTAAAAGGACTTTTGTGAAGATGAAGAAATTAGGGAATTTAAGAATGAAGAAAATTAGCGAAAAAAAAATGGAAATTGCAAACGAAAATGGCGTTATATGAATGGAAGGTGAAATTTTAATTTAAAATGACTTTTGTGAAGATGAAGAAATGAAGAAAATTAGCGAAAAAAATGGAAATTGCGAACGAAAGTGACATTATATGAATGGAAGGTGAAATGTTAATTGAAAATGACTTTTGTGAAGATGAAGAAATGAAGAAAATTAGCGAAAAAAAATGGAAGTTGCGAACGAAAGTGACATTATATGAATGGAAGGTAAAATTTTAATTGAAAATGACTTTTTTGAAGATGAAGAAATGAAGAAAATTAGCGAAAAAAAAATGGAAGTTGCGAACGAAAGCGACATTATATGAATCGAAGGTAAAATTTTTATATAAAATGACTTTTGTGAATATGAAGAAATTAGGGAATTGAAAAATGAAGAAAATTAGCGAAAAAAATGGAAATTGCAAACGAAAATGACATTATATGAATGGAAGGTGAAATTTTAATTTAAAATGACTTTTGTGAAGATGAAGAAATGAAGAAAATTAGCGAAAAAAATGGAAATTGCGAACGAAAGTGACATTATATGAATGGAAGGTGAAATGTTAATTGAAAATGACTTTTGTGAAGATGAAGAAATGAAGAAAATTAGCGAAAAAAAATGGAAGTTGCGAACGAAAGTGACATTATATGAATGGAAGGTAAAATTTTAATTGAAAATGACTTTTTTGAAGATGAAGAAATGAAGAAAATTAGCGAAAAAAAAATGGAAGTTGCGAACGAAAGCGACATTATATGAATCGAAGGTAAAATTTTTATATAAAATGACTTTTGTGAATATGAAGAAATTAGGGAATTGAAAAATGAAGAAAATTAGCGAAAAAAATGGAAATTGCAAACGAAAATGACATTATATGAATGGAAGGTGAAATTTTAATTTAAAATGACTTTTGTGAAGATGGAAGAAATTAGGGAATTTAAGTTTGAAGAAGAAAATGAACGAAAAAATTGCAAACGAAAAATGACATTCATACCATAAATGGATGGATGGGAGGATGGATGGATTAATGGACAAAGGAATGAAAGAACTGATATATAGACAAATGAATATTATGAACGAGTAAATGATGAGATGAACGGGAAAATGAATGAAAATAA